GTTTTATGATTACCAAGTTTGTGGCGTAAACAAAGAGGCCACATGGCATGTTAAATGCTTGCAAGAGGCCTGCAGCGCCACCCAAGGAAAGGTATTTCCTGAATAGCACGAAGCTTGTCAAAAATTTGAAGCAAAAATTTTTATTTAACATAACGTTGTGAACTGAATAACGTGTACCTATATAGACTGAATATGCATAAGCATGGAAACCCGATGTAGACACATAGTTATATCTGAATAAGTAACAAAACAAGTAGAGCTTTTAAAAAAAAGCCTACCGTCTTTAGCAACAACTTAAAAATTTAACTGATCTACACCTATTAGGCCGTATTATTCTTAAGGTCTCACACAAGGAAATAATTTCACTATATATTACTATAAAGCTTGAATTAAATTATTTAATTTATTAGACTCTCAGCAAAAAATTTAAGAAGGAGAAAATAAAGATTAATACTTAAACAAAAATTTGAGATCAGAAAAAATACGTCTTACGGGGCTTTTAGGGAAACAAAAATTGACAGTAAACATACCTACTCCGAAATACACGTTTCACATGTAGATAAACAGCCTTCACGCAATTCAGGAAGTTGCATCATGCGCACCTGAAAAAGATTTCCCTTTAATTCAAGGGGATAAATCTTCTTAAGATATGATATTGCTAGTACATGAGTCCGAATTTGATACTGTATGCCTAAAACAAATTGCCAAAATAAAAAAAAAAAATTCTCTATATATATGGAACTTCAATTGACTAAGTTCATTTTGATTGGCTATTTCCTTGCGTAAGACCTTTAAGACAATTAAAAGTTAATTAAATTAAATGAAATTTGCACAAAATGTCTCTGAGTTATTTATCTTTCATATACTAGTGCGTCAAAATTTATCTTTGTCCTTAAGGGATGAAAAATAGGAGATAACTCTTCCTAACAGATTATTGAATTTTAGGCTAAATTTCTGTACAAATTCATCTTTAGCATATTAATTTCAAAACTTGAAAAAAATTAATGAGTGAATTATTGAGAAAAAAATTGAAAAAATTGAAAGCTGAAATACTAGTTTTTGGCCATATGCTAAAAAATAATTTCAACTCTAATTAATGAGCTCTAATTAGCTAAGAAACATGACGTTAACTGATTTTTAAGGAATTAATTAGCAAAAAAGTGAAAACTTTAATTCTAAAACAAAGTCAGAGACTGGAAAAAATGGTTTCAAAAGAGACTTCACTAATGTACCTTGGAGCTTTGATAACAATGATCACTGATTAATGGCTGGTGATTAAGATAAGGGGTTCTTAAGCAGTGGGGGGTGATGAGGCTTTTCCATCAGTCATCAAAGAATGGAGTTTCTCTTAGAAGACCAGGCAGCTCTAAAATAAATAAACAACACAAAAGTTTACAATACTTAAAAATGTGCACCACATACAATAGCATATTCTTAGAAAAAGTCTACATGTATACAGTTAAATAATTACCATGCCAAAGAAAGGACCAAAATGGTTGCATGAACATCAATACAAAAAAGGAAGTATTCCTCACAAGAAAGGCCAGAAGAAAATAGGGACCACCAGCCCAGTCCAATCTCTAGTTCCCATAAGAAGACTAAGTAAAGAAGAGTTTCAGGACATTGTACCGCCACAGAAAAATGGGGTGTTTACAGTTATAGATGCCAAGAGCCGAAGCAGCGAGATGAAGTTTTTACGACCCGGGCCAAGTGAGGTCCAGCCAGTGGACACCTACATGGAATCTGTGACAGATGACCAAAATTCAAAATTATACAAGGTACTTCACCAAGAAAAGACTGCTAAATTGTGCAACAATGCATTCAAAGAACACTTACGAAGTTTCCTGACTGTGATGGTCCACTGGAATGGAATCAGCATGGGGAGGAAAAACGAGGCCTGGCATGGATCTTTTCCATTCGATGTAAGAAGTGCCACTATACCAGTCACCGAGAAAAGCTTTACGAAGAGGTTAGAAGATCGGGAAAGGGGGACGAAGAGCTGCACAGCTAAATGTGGCCATGGCTGTCGGTCACCTGGGTACCAGTCTTACAACAGAGGGTATGCGTGGTATGCTTTTTGGTGCAAATATTGAACCAGCGTCAACCGCCAACATGCAAAAGACCTGCAACAAAGTGGGGAAAATTATAACCGATGTAAATAAACACAGTATGAAGAAAATTCGGCAGAATATTCAAGAACTTAATGAAAAATGTGGACTTCCGGATACCCCCATCAGAGCGGAAGGAGATGCTCGGTACAATAATGCCACCTTCAGTGCCATTGGGAAAACCCCATTCCAAGCTGCCACCCAAGTGACGTATACCGTAAGTGAAAATGTAACTCAGAGGAAGAATGTGGTAGCAGTTTTCTGTGGGAATAAACTATGTAAGAAAGGTGCACCCTACGCAGCAAAGGAAAAGAGGTTACCTGCCCAGGACATGAAGACTGCACTGCAACCATTCCTCCGGAGACCACCATTGGAGACAAGAAGAGATGGGCTGGTAATTGTGTTGGTGAGTTACAGAGTGATGACCGGCCACTAGTAATATCCCATTTCACCAGTGATGGAGACAGTTCCGCTGCATCTGGTGCATCTGAAAAACAAGGACATGTGATTGAAAACCTTAAGGACTTGCGTCACTTCTTTGACTCTCAAAAAAAACAGACTGCTAAGGCTCCATTCAGCAGTCACATGTTTCCGGGAAGAACCAAGGCCATAAGAGAATCCATGCAGCGAAGATTTACCTTGGACCTGAAGCTTCGATGCAGGACAGAGTACGAGAATTGCTACAAACACTACTCCGGCGACTTATCTTTTGATGAAGCGTGCTATGTCTACTGCGGTTGATTCCCTCATAAACTGCTACCAGGGACAGTGCAGGAAGTCCTGTAAACTCTATTCCTTTTCCTGTCGTGGACTGAAAAGCAATAAGTGGAAATCTTCAGTGTTGCCTAGTGACTTTGAATTAAACATGACAGAAAAAGGCAAATGTTTGTTAAAAGACTGTATAAATTTGACTTTAGGACAAAGTAATCTTGATAGAATAAAATATCATACTTGTACACAAAAATCTGAATCTGTAAATAGGGCATATTTAAAATCAAATCCAAAATGTATTACAAGTAGTAGAAATTTTGAAAGTAGAATACATAAAGTTGTACACTCACTGAATAGGGGTCATGGAAACTCAACACTGGAACTTTGTGAATCTGTATGGGCACCTGTTGTAAAAGGAAGTAGAGTGGTCCATCATCTAAAACAACAACAAAATAGACAAAATTACTTTAAAATGAAACAAAAACTGTTAAAATATAAATTTCAAAGAAAATACTACAGATCTAAATGATATCAGCTGTACTATAAAAAATCTAAAGACACTTACAGTAAATCATTAACAGATCCAAAATTAAAAAGGAAGTTGTAAGACTGTGAAAGGGGTGGGCATTGTTGATATGAATGCATTTTAAATGTATAAAATTTGTATTTAGAATATATTTTGTGAACTATCTTACATGTAATAATTGTTTTTATGTTTCATTATGCATTGATTATTTTCAACTGTGTAAATGGGGAAAATGTGGACATTTGAATAATGTATTGTATGTGTAAAATGTGACATTTTGTTATACGAGAGAGTCTGTACATGTAAAAATGTTATATTCTTTATTATTTAGCTCATTAAAATTATTTGAATTAAAAATCTTGTTTTTCTTACCTGTGTGATGAACACAACAAAGGTTTCAGAGGTATTTGGTAGAAATATGGGTATACGGGTGTCAAAACTGTCCGTTGGTGACAAGACTACATGCCGCATTTTTATCGCATTATTGATCTTTTCAAGGGGAGACAACTCCTGAAATCAGAGAAATTTTAGTGAAAATGAGAGTTACCTGTTTCTCTTTAGGTCTCACACAAGGAAATAATTTCACTATATATTACTATAAAGCTTGGATTAAATTATTTAATTTATTAGACTCTCAGCAGAAAATTCATGAAAGAGAAAATAAAGATTAATGCTGAAACACAAATTTGAGATCAGAAAAAAATATGCCTTATGCGGCTTTTAAGAAAGAAAATGGACAGTAAACATACCTACCCCGAAATGCACGTGGGATTCACATGTTGACAAACAGCCTACACACCATCCAGGAAGTTGCATCATGCGCACCTGAAAAGAGAGTTCCTTTTAATTCAGTGGGATAACTCTGCTAAAGAAATGATATTCCTAGTACATGAGTCCAATTTTAATATTATAGGCCTAAAACAAATTGCCAAAAATGAAAAAAAAAAAAAAATTCTCATATATATGGAACTTCAATTGACTAAGTTCATTTTGATTGGCTATTTCCTTGCGTAAGACCTTTAAGAATTTCTTGATTTTGTATTTCTACATTTACTTTTTACTGGCATAAGCCCAACTACAATATTTTCGTAAATGTTGACTGACCGAGAGCTTTCGGCAAACCTTGGCCGGTTCGGTTACCTTGTTCAAACAAGAAAGGGGAAAAGAATAATGTACTAGCATGGTAACGCATGGTTTATTCTAGAAATATCCAACAACTTTCAACAATTGAATTTAGTTCATGTTCTAATCCCGAGGCCATTAGAATCACAATTTTGAAGGAGGCACCACTGCATGTTGTTTATACTGAAACTCCACAGACTGGGTGACACAGTGACGTCGAAACAATCTCTACAGCATCTACAGACTCTGCTGCTCTATGATGACGTTAATGTACCATATCACCTCAGAGATATTTCATGGCAAGTTCTTGGTCTCTGTCAACAAATCAACAAGACTACTCGGGATCTCTACAGTAATATCAATATTCGTTACAACAATTTCCATTTAACAAGATCCAGAGAGTAACTCGTTTAAGAATTAACACACTTCCTACCGTCTACATATTCAAATGAAAATGCCAATTGTTTATTCTTGTTATTTTAACACTTCAGAAAAGTCTGTTCAAAATCCTGTATCATTTATTTGCATTCCCTTTTTTTTAAATCACCTTTTCTTATCTTTTGATTTCCGATTTTTTTTTCCCCATTGTTGATATAAATGATAATACCTATTACTATTGGAACGGGTATGCTATACATCTATTTCATACTTTATAGATTTAAATATTAATTAAAAAACAATATTCATTAAAATGTTTCTCTTGGTTTTTCATATAAGGAAAAAATGCATTTATTTTTAATAGCATATTGATCAATATCCGTCGTATTAATTACACTTTAAAATCCAGCCCTCTAGATGAAAAAAAATTTAATATTTAGTAAATTCAGCATTTGATATCATATTTCGAGCTCAGAGCCCGCCATCTTAAAAATATAGAAAATATACACTATCTACCCTTTGAGTAAGTGCATTTACAATAAGGTATAACTACAATCTCATTTCCCTGATATGGGTCCATTTTAATTCTGACATATACATATGCTTATTCAGGTTTTATCTTTAAAAAGATACATCTTTGTTATATTAATTATGATTAATTATCACATAAAGTATACCAAGTTGAAAAACAGCTTTTATTCTTTAAACCATAAAAGTATGAGGATGGAAAAGCATCTGATTCTATTCTTAGATTCTTTTTTTGGATTCTGGGATCATCGTTTATCACCATTAGATTTGATACTGTATGTAACAAAATGTTATCCAAGGATGGAGACAATGAACGCTATTCAATATCAAAGTACATAAAACAATACAAAATAAGAGCAGAGTAAACACGGACCCACGAAACATCTGAGATGGCATCGAAGGACGTATCACTTTGAGTACAGGATTGTCACATATTCATGCTGGATAAGATTTGTGAGTTTTGGGTCACTAATTAATGTAAAGTATAAAGTACTATATACAATGAACCAGTTGAAACATAAATATTTAAAACTACACAAGGGATCCATTTTATATTTAGTTCAGTCGGAGGGGGGGGGGTTGAATGAAGTGATAAAAAAATGAAGAACCTAATCTATATTTTCCTTAAAATATGATAAATTTCCATGATTTATACTTTAATCAATCTTTCTAGGTTAATTATATATTTTTTTCTTGTGTGTAGCCGATAGACAGGAGACTCCTCCATGACACCTAATCCCACCTCTGATTATTTAGAGATCCGGGTTTATTCTCCTGAAATGTTTGGAGTTTTTCTTAAGGGGTTCCGACCCTCTGATAAATTTTGAATTTTCAGAAGTGAAATTTATAGCAGAGGGTCGGGACCCCTTAATTGACTTTTTAGGTTCATAACTCTTCGTTAACTTTATTTTTCTCTTCATTATTATTGCAAAATATGGTTAATGAAGTACTGTTTGGTCCATTTCCTAGAAAATTGAGCCTTATCTAACAAAATATTTATTCTGCTTATTTTCCCCTTATACATGTACGCACATATCATTGATTTTACATGAATAATTAAACGCTTACCTTCTGTTTTGTGGATCAACATTTCACCTCTCTATGGCAATGTTTTAAATTCAGCTTATCTTCTTCGCGACAAAAGAATTTGTACAAAAACTATTTGCAATAGAAATAAAGTATTGGAACATTTTTCCTGAACAATGTTTATTTTATGCTTAGAAAAACAATTTCTGTTCGAAAAACTATAAATTATTCATATTGGTGTTTTATCATCAATAACCACAAGGATGTTACAAAATGTCCTTGATAAAATAAAAAAAAGGGGTGCTTCTCATTTAAGATAAATATTTCTTAAGTATAAACCTTACAGTGAAGAACATGGGGATAACGAACAGTATTCAAGATCAAAAGTCCATAAAAGAACTCAAAACAGAGCAGAGTAAACAGGGACCTAAAAAAAAATCGGAAGTTGGGTCATGGGCGTACAACAAATAAATGAATGTATATCACGTGTTTGTCTTACCAAGTTATGAAGGGCCATTTATTTCTCTTCTAAATTTACTAATACATTGAAAATTACTTGTATTTTTTTCAAATAAATGAATTGGTCTGTTCAGTGGTTATTTTATAATTGTCCTCGTTTAAAGCTATTATCTTTAAAAAGTTGTCTTCTTAGTGCAATTCTCATTTATCCATACGTAAAAGCCCACTAAGAAATGAATGAAGATTTGTTTGCAACGATAAACATTAATTCCAGATAAATGCACAAGTTTAGGTAAATATATGTTTTTTTCTCTTGTCCTTTTAAAAGAATAAACACATTGTACATTTAAAAAAAAACTGAAAGAACAGAAACTAGTCAAGGCAAGGAAACATCAACCGTAAAAGTTTTATTTTTGTCACACGAATTGTTTTCCTTGCCTTAAAAATAAGGTCCAGGAGGAAAGTTGAATAAAGTGGGTATCTGTCAACAGATTACGGGAAACTACACGGGGTCTCTGCAGTCGTATCAATATTCTTTACAAAAATATCCCTTTCAAAAGCAACTCTTAAAAGAATGAACACACTTCCTCACAGTCTTATGTAATACTATATTTTAAAAATGAAAATGGCAATTGTTTATTTGTTATTTTGTCCCTGTTTCTTATTTATTTTTTTAATTCCTTTTTCTTGCCTCTATTATTTTTTATAAATGATGATACCATTTACTAACGAAACGTTTATTCTATTATGTATATTTTAATTCATACTTTATATATAACATTGAATATTAATCAAATGTTGAAAAATAATAATAATAGAAAAAAATGATGTTGGTTTAACTTTAAATTTGTTCGCTAGGTTCCTCATACTTGGAAAATTGTACTTATTTTTAATTGCACATTGATCAGTACACGTTGTATTAATTACATTTAAATGTCTAAACAACTAGAAGAGACAAATCGGAGGTTTAGAAAATTCTGCATTTAATATTCAATTGAATCAATACTGTGAGTCGTTTTAATTACAAGGAGTTTAAATTTCACAGTATCTCAAAATGTACCACTTGCATTGGTTTTAATGTCACGCTGCAAGAAATTAATTCAGATTTCATCTAAGTATTGAACATTTTAAGAATTAAAAAAAATGATTAAAAGTGAAGATAGCAAAATTAAAGCCATCATGATTATTTGCCAATCTATAGTATTTTACTATATGTAAACATAACAGGATTCGAATGCAAGCACTGAACATACAGGTTCTTACTGTGATACAAAAATCAAGGTCAAAAATGTAAATTTTAGCTACATAACATTGAATAAATATCAATATATATATATTTATATATTCAATAGAAATGTATATAAAAAGGCAACTCAAAAAATATATATTAATGAGCTGATGAATTAATTTAAGTTTGCATTATAACATATATGACTGAGAAATATATTACATGTAACAAGTGTATAAATTTGAAAAAAAAAATAAGAAGAAATATTAGTAGATGTTGGTTCTGAGGTTTGACAATTTAAATACAAAAGGAGAAAAAATATGCAAATATCTTTGAAGTTGCAATAAATTGTTGAATATTTTTTAGTAATAGGTAAGATTATTGTCACCATTCAAAATAACTTCTACGGATGAAGGCATTGGTAACTGCAAAACATTAAAATTATGCAAAAGGTTCTGCCTTTGCAAACGATATTTTGGACATGTTTGGACATTTGATTTTGGTATCGACATAGGAATGGAAATTACCACAGTTAATTGACAATAGATTGTCGATATGTTTAAATGTCGAGTTGAAGGCCACAGCAAGTGTTTCCTTTCTTCACGCATAAGTATAAAGGAAACTTCTTCAAACTAGGAATGACTCTAATTCTTGGCCAAATTATCCAGTATAATCGGGTTTTGGGCAGGTTACGCTTTTTATAGTCCGCTTCG